GACCCAGAAGATGCTCCTGGCTTCAGCCTGACCCAGCCCTGGCCATCGTAACCTTTAGGGGAAGGAAGTAGTGGATGGAAGATTCTCTCTCTCTCTCTCTCCCTCTCTCTCTCTACTTTCTTTCTGCTTCTGTCTCTCCCTCTCTCCATGTAACTCTGTCCTTCAAATAAGTTAATAAGTCTTAAAAACTAAAGACAAAACAAAAACAGCGATGGATTCCAAGCTTCTGTTTCAGTTCCTTTTCTCTTTTTCTCCAATTCAGTTTTTGGAGAAAATCACCATCTCCCATTTTCACTTGCTTCTTTCCTGTGCTCAGAAGACCCTGTGGTTCTCTTCTCTACACTGTGACTCTCAGTGTATTATGGAGAAAATACCTTGAGCAACAGACAACGATACAACGGGAAAAGTTCCACAACTCGTTTTTGTCCCTTCTTGACTTGACAAAATGGAATCCACACCACCATGCTCAGTAGGGAAGAGAAACCCTCCCTGTCCCTTCACTCTGCTGGAGGTGGCAGGCAGTGAGCCCCGAAGCAGGTGCATGTGGCCCGAGCCTTTCGCTCCTTGCTCTGCATCCTGGGCTCCAAGATTACCCTGGGTCCCTGTGAAAATTCGGACAGCCAGCATCTCCCAGCAGGTGTCTGTCTACACTCTCCTGGTTAGAAGAAGAAAAAGAAAAACTCTTCAACATGGGATTATAGCAGATCAACGAAGGGTGAGTTTGAGATGTTTGACATGGGCATTTTGATAGCATGCTTCTTTGACATGTTGAGTTGAGATGTCTAACAGACGTCCCCGCAGTAAGAGAGCACTTTTAAAAACAAGACAATGTGTGCTGTGCCAGTTGATGGTAAAATCCACAGGACCTGTAAGATATTTGGAATTGACATATTCTCTATTCGCAGTTTTGTCCCCTGTTTATTCCATGGGAGCACTGGTTCAAGTCCCAGCTACTCCCCTTCCCTTGTGCAGGGGTCATACAAATCTTCTCTGTGCCATTCCAGTTTTAGTCTACGTGCTGCCAAAGCAAGCTCTGTTCCACTTTTGATACCTAAGAAACCAGCAGAAGATAACCCAAGTACCTGGATCCCAGACACCCACTTGGGAAACCTACATAGTTTCAGGCTCTTGGCTGTGGCCATTGCAGCCATTGGGGAATGAACCAGTGGATGGAAGAGCTCACCCTTGCTCTCTCTCTCTCTCTTTCTCTCTCATTCCCCCTCTCATAACTCTGCCTTTCAAGTAAATTAAGTAAACCCCTTTTTAAAAAAATGTAAATGCACTCACACATACAAGCACAAACACCCATCCTAGGATGGCAGTGATGATGCACTTGAACAAACTAGCAGAAAATCTGTCGTGATCCTGTCCCTGAGGAAGGGGCCAGCAGAGCTGCTGTGGGCCACCTGAGAGTGGCCATCTCAGTGGAAGGCAGAGTAGATGTGAGAAGCTGAGTCCAGGGGATAGCCCTGATCCAACTGTGCCTGAAGCCAATCCTTTTCCATCTTAGGTTCCAATGAGTGGATGCAGTTGTGTGACACTCTCTAGTCTCACAGCAGTGCAGTGACACAAGCTGAACATATGTTCCACCTCCTGGTTTGCAGGCGGAAGCCCTCCAGCCAGACAGCCTGTGGGACTAGGCCAAGGTCACAGCAAACCCATGGCCTGCATCAAACCAGTGTTTGTTCAGCAGTCTCATTCAGGGGAAAAAATATCTTGTTTTTATACCAAAACAAATAGAAATACGGAACAGAACATCACATTAACCTTTAGATAAAGTATGAGTGGCAGGTGTTTGGCAATGTAGTTAAGATGCCATGTGAGACATCCAAATCTCATGTCTGAGTGCCTCGTTCAAGTCCCAGCTATCCAGTCCTGGCACTATGTCCTAGTGGCTAAATCCTTGCCTTGTCTTCCACATGCTGGGATCCCATTTGGGCACCAATTCTAATCCTGGTAGCCCCACTTCCCATCCAGCTCCCTGCCTGTGGCCTGGGAAAGCAGTCTAGGATGGCCCAAATCTTGGGACCCTACACCTGCGTGGGAGACTGGGAACAGCTCCTGGCTCCTGGCTTCGGATCATCTGAGCTCCAGCCGTTGTAGTCACTTAGGGAGTGAATCATTGGATGGAAGATCTTCCTCTCTGTCTCTCCTTCTCTCTGTAAATCTGTTTTTCCAATAAAAATAAATAAAATCTCAGGCCCGGTGCAATAGCATAGTGGTTAAAGACCTTGCCTTGCATGTGCTGGGCTCCCATATGGACGTTGGTTCTAATCCCGGAGGCCCCACTTCCCATCCAGTTCCCTGCTTGTGGCCTGGGAAAGCAGTCGAGGACGGCCCAAAGCCTTGGGACCCTGCACCCGCACGGGAGACCCAGAAGAGCTCCTCTCTGTATATCCGCCTTTCCAATAAAAATAAATAAATATTTAAATAAATAAAATGTTAAGTCCCAGCTATCCTTTTTCCAATCCAGCTACCTGCTGATGGGAGGCAACACATGATGGCTCAATTACTTGGATCCCTTCCCCCAACTTGGAGGACCCAGATGGCGTTCCATGCTCCTGGCTTTGGCCTGACCCAAAACCCCGGCTGTTGATGTCATTTGGGGAGTGAACTGGTAAATGAAAAGATCTCTCTCTATCTCTTTGCCTTTCAATAAGAATAAAATAAATTAGTAAATATTTTAAAGGTAAAAATATATAATTATATATATATATTGGGGGGCAGCATTTTGGCACAATGAACTAAGTTACCACTTGCAACATCTGCATTCTATATGAATGCTCATTTGAGTCCCAGCTGCTCCACTTCTTTTTTTTTTTTTTTTGTGGGTTGGGGCGAAGATCAGATATACAGAGAAGAGGAGAGACAGAGAGGAAGATCTTCCATCCACTGTTTCACTCCCCAAGTGGCAACAACAGCCAGAGTGGAGCCAATCTGAAGCCAGGAGTTTATTCCAGGTCTGCCAAGCAGGTGCAGGGTCCCAAGGCTTTGTGCCATCCTCCACTGCTTTCCCAGGACACAAGCAGAGAACCAGATGGGAAGCTGGAACACTGGAATACAAAGCAGCATCCATATGGGATCCCAGTGGCCATAAAGAGAGGACTTTAGCCACTAGACTACTGTGCCAGGCCCGGCTGCTCCACTTCTGTTTCAGCTCCATGCTAACACATTTGGGGAAACAGCAGAAGATGGCCTAAGTACTGGGACCTGCGGGCCCATATGGGCAACCCAGATGGATTGCTTGGCTCCTGGCTTCAACTTGTGCCAGCCCTGGCTATTGTGGCCATCTGGGAAGTGAACCAGAGGATAGAAAATATCTCTCTTCCTTTCTCTCACTCTCTCTCTGACACTCTGCCTTTTGAATAAATAAATCTAGAAATAACAACGAAAAGAAAAAGCACAAAACATAGGCCCTCAGAATAGTACTTGGAGAGACTGCTATAGATTGCAGATACTATGAAGAAGGGTCTAGAATGTCACAGGAGTCAGAGGCAGAGCTAGAACTGGAACCCAAGCCCTCTGACAGCCAGCCCAAGGGGACCCGGCACCCCAGGCTCCTTCCTCTTTGTATGTTCGTTCACCGGGAGCTCTCCCAGCTCTTCCCAATCCTGCAATCAGGGATCAACTTATTCTCCAGGAAACCAGGCCCAGAAGGTAAGTGACAATCGGAGCCCCTTAGGCCTGAGTGAGGACTTGAGCCCGAGTGGCAAGAGCTGACACTCACTTTCCCTTGCTGCTTTGCTGGCTGGGGCACCAAGTCGAACTTAGATCACGGGGCAGGGATGCCCACAGTGAGGAGAGTGAAAAAGTAGGGAAGAACGAGAAAGCCCATCAGGAAGCCCTGCTCGCTTTCCCACCCTTTCTTCTCTAGCCAGCAAAGGGGATACACATTGTCACCTTTGGGAGCACCAATAAGCAACACTGGGGTGCGACCCACCTGGGTTCAAAGCTGCACCCTGTGTAATCCTGGGCAAGCCACTCTACCTCTCTGAGCCTCAGCTTCCTCCACCGAGGGACCCTCTGCCAGGGCTTCCTGAGACTTAGACTAGACAAGAACTGGAAGTGCATCCAGCATCCGTGTGATAGGCACGAGTTTGCCTTCCTTTGATTGCTTCCTTGTCTAAGAAGCACCTACTGGGAAATGGAGTCACCAGAGAAGTTAACAGCAACTGTCATCTTGTCAGTGGGCAGTAAAACACATCTGATCCATTCCAGGGATGTCCTCTAGGGCCAGCACCCCTGGACCCTGCCACTGGGACTGCCACATCCCAATAACATGGGTTTCCTGCCTGTTGCCTACAGAAGCACACTCCTGTATTTTGCAAATCCTCCCATCAGTGTTAGGAAGCCAAGCGGGCACACGTTTCTGTCCCTGCTCCGCAGACATACAGCCCATGGCCTGGAGACTAACTTGACTCGTCCAAGGTCACACTGCTTGTCGCAGCATGGCTTACAACAGAGTGTCTCCATCTCGGCACCAGTGACCCTTGGGATGGGACAAGTCCTCATCGTCCTGTGCATTGCAGGGAACAGAGCAACATGTCCGTCTACTCACTAGATATCAATGGGATCCCATCCCAGCCACAATGAGCAAAAATGTCTCCACATTTGGTCAAATATCCCCCATTTGCACTGGCCCCATTGAGAACTGCTGGCTCAGAACACTGTTTGCTCCACATGCAGGCTTAATCTTTGCAAATGCAACTCCAAGGTCCAACAACCAATATTTTTCTTCCTCCCCTAACGCACAACCTAATCTCTTCAAAGCAAGAACAGACATGTCAATATCCACTTTTGGAATATTTATCAAAATATTTGAGGGTGAGGGGTGGGAGAAAATGGAAAATAACTACTTGGACCCATGCCCTTTGTTCCACTGAGCTTTGAGAAAATTCCCATATTGCGTGCTCCTCAGATCTCTCACTGATAAACCCGTTCATAAAACTAGGCTGCAGCCGAAGCTAGACAGAGTTAGACAGAGCTAGACAAGACACACCATGATCTCGATCCTGCTGTTGTCTTCGCTGGTGGCTGGAGGTAAGCTGCACCGCCCAGGAATGCTGCTGTTCCATCTTCCACTAGTGGGCCCCCTTACTCCTCCCATGGCTGTCCTCAGTCTAGAGTTACTAGAAAGTGAGAGTGGGCATTCAGCACCGTGGCTAAGTTCCTGTCTGGGATGATCACAACCCATATTGGAGTGCCTGGTTTGAATCCTGGCTAGTCCACTTCCAATCCAGTTTCCTTGTAAATGGGCACCTTGGGAAGGAGCAGTGTTGCTCAAGCCCCTGACCCGTTACCCACTGCTTCCCTGGTGTTTACAGGAAGCTAGATCAGAAGCAGAGTAGCCAAGACTCGAAGTGGCTCTCTTACACAGGATGTGGGTGTCCCAAGCAGCGGCTTAACCCACTGTACCTCAGCAGTCACCCCAGACTGAAGATAGGCTATTTGGGGCTTAAGCATGTAGCAAGTGCCAGCTGATGCTGCTTGGGTCTGTGTTTCCTGAATTCACGAGCCTCTTCTGTTTCCGCAGTCCTCACCTCTGATGTCACCACAGTCGAGTCCCAGCAGTCTAGAGTGGTTGGAGGTGAAGAAGCAAAGGCCAACAGCTGGCCTTGGCAGGTGAGTCAGTCACATTATTCTTCACTTACCTCCTCCTCCAGGGCGACCACTGTGCTGGCCTGAGAGGCCAGTGTTTGAGAGGCCGAAAGACAGAGAGAAATAGAGGGATCTTGCATCTGTTGGTTCACTTTCTATGTCCACTAAAGCCTCAACTAGACCAGCCTGGAACCAGGCGCCTGGAATTCAATCAAGATCTCCCATGTGGGTGGCAGGAACCCAGCTACTCTGAGCCACCACCTGCTGCCTCCCAGGTTCTGGAAGTTAGAACTGGGAGCCAGAGCCAGGGCTGAACCCAAACCCTCCGACAAGGAGACCCGGGCTCCCCCATGGCTGTATTCACCACTAGGTCCAAGGCGTATCGCTCACAGCATTTTTTTTTCCTGTAGGAGTTGAAGGAGTGCTGTAGCTTGGGCCACGTTTATACTAAGAACCAATCAGGGCTACCCACAAAAGTACATCCTCGCCCTCTCATAGAAATGCATCCTTGCTTTAGGACCAATTAATGTCACTCTCAGACAATTCCCTACGCTGCCTGCTCCAATTTCCCTGAAGAAGTTCTTTTATTAGGGAAAGCAGACAGGTGTAGGTGGGTGAGACTCAGGTAAGGCATTGATTTGGGGAGAGAAAAATTAAGTGAGTATCACAATGGATAACACTTTAAGGCAGTTTTTTTTTAAATATCTTCTTATGTATTTGAAAGGCAGAAAGAGAGAGAACCTTCTATCCTCTTGTTCACTCCCCAAACGCCCACACAACCAAGACTAAACCAAGCTAAAACTTGGATCCAAGAAATCCATCCAGGTTTCCCATGTGGGTAACAAAAAATTCAAATACGTGGGCCGTCATCCTCTGCCTCCCAGGGATATTAGCAGGGAGCTGGACTGGAAGAGGAGTGGTCAGGACTTGAACCAGCACTCAGATACAGGATGCTGGTGTCCCGCCCACAAATTATGCTTCTAAACTGAATTTAATGCAATAATAGCAACACGGAGCCCCATCCAAGCACGACACCCTCTGTTGTCACCCCTACACTTTCTCTTGACCACGGCAAGGGCAGGAGCTAAGAGTGAGGCCAGGGTGTTGTTGGGCCCAAAAGGCTGGCAAAATGGGGTTGCCATTGATCAAGCCAGGCAAGCCTGAAGGAAGAGCAGGTGTGGGAGGAAAAGCAAAACTCTGGCGTTTCTGTTTGTTTTGTGAAGATTCATTCCTTGAGTTCTTCACAAGCGAAAATAAGAAAGAGATCATTCATCCCCTGGTTCACTCCCCAAAGGACTGCGACAGCCAGGGCTGGGCCAGGCTCAAGCCTGGAACTCCAGCCAAAGCCCCGAGGCCATCTTCTGCTGCCTTCCCTCCAAGGTGCACCTGCAGGGAGCTGGATCAGAAACAGAGCAGCTGGGACTCGAACCAGCACTCTGAAACAGCACCCATCCTAATAGCAGCTTACCCTCTGTGCCACAACGCCCACCCACCCCCAGGTCGATTCTCTTTTTCTGTCTTTCTTTTCTTTTTTATTATTATTTTTTTAGATATATGGATTATTTAATGACACAACCTTTAAAAACCAACCAAGCGAATTTGACAGCAAATTATATAACATTGTCAATGTCAAAAATGATGACTCATGATTTCCTGTCCAGGATTTTTTAAAGTAAAAGCTGATTTAAAACTTTTCCATTTTTTTAAATGTCTTGCCAAGATGTTTTCACCCATCCCAGCACTTTATACAACTTCTATATTAATTTGCTCACCAGCAAGACTCACGTGATGTCAGTTTCAGTTAGTATTCAGTTTCAGGCTGGGAGCTAAAGTGAAGGACAAATATATGGCTTGTTGGATCTTCATTAAAAAAGCTGGCTTCCAAGAAAGAAACTGAATTAATGGCATAGCTCGTACCAGGAATCTTAAAGGCTAAGGACCTGGCAACCATGCTTTGCAATTTCACAGGGACCCCTCTCGTGAGGGTGGCCGTGCCATCCTCACCATCCCACACCCTGCACACACAGAGTACCAGCCTGGTGTAGACATGTTAAACGGAAGGTCTACCTCCTGGGGAAGTGGCTCCCCCAAGAGGGAAAAGCCCAACACATCAACTTGTAGAAAGATGTTCAGAACAGAAATTTTTTTTTAAGTAATCTAAGTTTTTGATATTATGTTTATCATAGATTTTTGGGGTTCATTTTGATTTTGTATGCCGAGAGTTTTTATTTGAAGAAAATTTATTTATGTGAAAGGCAGGGAGGAAGAAAGCGACAGAGAGATCTTCCATCTACTGGCTCACTCTTCAATGGTTGCAATAGTTGAAGCTGGGCCAGGCAGCAGAAGGAGCCAGATCTCCATCCGGGTCTGTCACACGGTAGGGGGCAGGTGATTGAGCCACCATCCCCTGCTTCCTGACTGCATTAGCAGGCAGCAGGATGGGAGGCAGAACAGCAGAGATTCACAGACAGGGGTTTCACTCACTGCACCACAGTGCTGACTGCATAAGTTTGCACCTGACATGAGCAGCCTCGCCCTGGCCTTGCAGATAGAGGCCACCCTTGAGCTGCCACCTCCTGCCTTCTCCCCAGGTCTCCCTGCAGTACAGCTCCGGCGGCTCATGGTACCACACCTGCGGAGGGTCCCTGGTGCACAACCGCTGGGTTCTGACAGCTGCCCACTGCATCAGGTAACCGCCTTTCCCTTTCGCCTATGTGCTGCTGTGCAAGCGTGGAGGCCCACAGGGCCTGAACCATGCTTGTAAAGGCACCTTGCAAATGGCCACCTGTCTGGCTGAGATCCAGTCTTTATCAGTCTGTGGGTCAGTGAGCAGGTGGACACACAGCCCAGACTGCACAGTCTGAGCCAGGCCTTGAGATGGGGTACAGAGGAGATGCCCAGTTCCTGCCTTTTGGGGTCACCTCTACATGGCCTGGGGGTCTCGGGGACTTTTCCAAGCCTCAGGACTGTCATCTGCAAAAAGTGGAGACCCATGACCTTCCCAGGACCTCTGCTTGTCTCACCTTAGCCACTACAGTTTCTGTCTGGTCAATGTCGCCCCTCACTGGGCGTGGCCCCTTCCCTACCTACTCGGTAAGCTCCACAAAGTGGTGGGAGAAAAGGTGACGACCTGTGAGTCGGGGAATCCCAGCTTTCAGTTCAGGACTGTCACTGGCCATGGGACCCTGGGCTCATCACCACCACCCATCTCCAGGCCTGTTTCCCCACCTGAGACTGAGTGGTGGGGAATTCAACTAAAACAGCCCCCTGGAAGCCCAGTGAGTCCTGTCTTCTCTGCGTTCCTTTCCATTCCCCATGATAATATATTTTGCTCATACATCACAGGGAAGTTATACTCACTATGTAGTTATAGTTACTGTACCACACAGTTTCTGTTTTATTATAACTGATGGCCTTAGGGAAGAAAAATCCCCAAGCCCTAGAAGTGGGTCATGGCACAGGTGCCTTCTGGGGCCGTCCTTGAGTCACGGAATGGCAGGTCTCAAGGCCCAGGGGGAGCTCATGGTCTCTGCTTGGTCCTCTCTCCCAGCTCCTCCAGGACCTACCGTGTGGTGCTGGGCCGACACAGCCTCTCCAAGGCAGAGACTGGCTCCGTGACGGTCAGTGTCTCCAAGCTGGTGGTGCATGAGAACTGGGACGCCAACAAAGTCGCCAACGGGTACATTCTGCTGGGGTGCATCTGGGGGGCAGGGTGGCCAGAGGCATAGATGGGAGACTCACGGAGGCGGTGGGTTCAGTCCACAGGGTTGTGGCCCGGAGACTGGAATCTCCCACCAGTAAAGCCTGCAGGCTTCTTGTGCACCCAGGTGCTCAGTAACTTTGTATCTTACCGATACAAAGGGCTTTGTATGCCAGGCCCTAGGAACACTGTAGAGACCAGGTGTCAGCTTCCTCCCTGACCCCTCTGCTGGAACTCCCTCTAAGACCTTACAGATTTTCAAAGAAGCCCTACACCTGGCCTGCAGGACACACACAGATGTTGACACGGGTCTTAGCCCCAGGTGACAGAACTTTAACCTGCCTTCGTGCTCTGCCTTTTTGCTAACCCAGCTATGACATCGCCCTGATCAAACTGGCCAGTGCCGTCACACTGACAAGCAAGATCCAGACTGCCAACCTCCCACCTGCTGGCACCATTCTGGCCAACAACTATCCCTGCTATGTGACAGGCTGGGGCAGACTGCAGAGTGAGTAGGAGCTGGAACCTGGGTCCCCAGAGCGCTGGGGCGGGCAAAATGGGAGGGCAATGTTACCCCATCCAGACAGGCTGCACAGCCGAGACACATGAGGCTGCCTGGATCCAAATCTCAGCTCCTCCATTTCACAGCTATGAGCTGGCGGGTACTATTCCTCAGCCTCTTGGTACTGCACTTCCCATGTCCGGGGGACTTGGATAGTAACACCATCTACAGCTCAGGGTTGCTGCAAGCACTGAAGGAGGTGATGTTTGACAAGGTAGCTTGGCAGAACAGAATGAGGGTAAGAGAGGTCACATGACCTCCTCAGCATCACTCAAAGACGACTCCTGAACCGTACTTGTTCTGTGCCCTCAGAGCCCCTGGACTCTCCTGCCCCATTGAATCTCGTCCCCTGTGCCACCTACACCAGCTTACTCAGAGCCTGGTCAGGTGTGAGCCTCCTTGGAGATAAAACCTGAAGGTTGGCAATCCAGGGACAGTCAACCAGCAGGAGAATCTGCTCTTGGAAGATTCTAGAGGAGTGATGCCTGAGTCCCTCATGAGGCTTCCAAGGGTACAACCACATGTAGAAATATTCCTGCTGCCCTCCTAACTGGCCTGACTGGAAGGACAAGAACACACAGCACCCCATAGAAGTGAGGAGTAGCTGGGGAAGCACCTCAAGCTTGGAAAGAGCTGACACACACCCCTACCCTGTTTGTTTACCCAGAAAGCACTGGGACAGAACACACTTCATCAGAGACAGCATGAGGCAGGGAAGAGCCCGTATGCTTGGCTTATCATCCCAGCCCTGCTGATCATTCATAACCTGACAACCCACACTACAGAATTTCCATTTCCTTATCTGGACAATGGGAATACTGCTGGGGAAGATCAAAACAAACAATAGGAAAACGCATTATGCCGAGTGCTATCTGAGGGCCACTTACTCAACAGAGCAGTTTTGGCGAAACCACTTAGCTGCTTTTGGCTTCAACATTGAGTCCATCTGTTAAACAGGAATGGGTATTTATTGTGCAGAAAATTTTCAAGGATTCACATGTTTTGAAAAGTCTAATGATGCGCATATGCAGAATGACAGTAATACTGATCCTTGCCATTAGCAAGTGGTGATAATAATGCAGACATTTGTGGCAGCTCTGCCATACCACTCCAGAACATTCTTAACCCTGGGGAGGGACTCCAAACACCGAAAGACTTTCTACTTAAGTAACAGAAACCAAGGAAGTAATGGGGGCCAGAAAGACAGAGTCAGGATAGCACCTGGTATGGACCACCACTTCCTTTCTCGCTGGGGTCCCCTTCGTCCCTGTAACACTTCTCTCCGGTCTTGTGCAGCCAACGGGGCCAGCCCTGACGTCCTGCAGCAGGGCCGGCTGCTGGTGGTGAGCTATGCCACCTGCTCTAGCTCTAGCTGGTGGGGCAGCACTGTGAAGAACAACATGGTGTGTGCCGGAGGCGATGGGATCACCTCCAGCTGCAATGTGAGTACACACACTCAGGGCCCTTTCCACCAGGAGGCGTGGCTGGGGGTGTGCATCCTCCCACGCCCCGGGCAGAAGCACCTGGAAGCAACCCTGGACATTTCCAAACCTGACCTTTATCCCTGTGGTCTGGATGCTCTGGGCTTCTCTTGGAGTGTGCACCCCTGTCACCAGCAGCCCCTTGCCCTTCTCCACCACCCCTGATCCTGTTCTTTCACAGGGCGACTCAGGAGGACCACTCAACTGCCAGGACTCCAGCGGCAAATGGCAGGTGCACGGCATAGTCAGCTTCGGGTCCTCCCTCGGCTGCAACTACTACCGTAAACCCTCCGTCTTCACCCGGGTCTCCTACTACAATGCTTGGATCAACTCGGTAAGAGTCACATGTACCCCAAGTCCCGGGGGCCCCCTGGAGGGAAGCTGTAGACCTGGGTGACCCTTGCTGGGGTCTTGCTAAAGTGGAAAGAAATTTGGTAGGAGTGGGGGCGGTTGCCCTAGTCTAAAGCAGTGGGGCAGAGACTACCCCCAGGCACTGAGCGTGGGTTCCCTGCCAGGAGCAGGAGTTTGGTAATTGCTTCTCTGAGTGTGGGCCCAGACCTCACACTCCAGGACTGGAAAAAGTCCTGGGAACCTGCAAAGCCCAAAGCTGGAGAGTTTAACATCCACCCCCAATTCTTTAATTATTGGAAACCAGTCTTCCTAAAGCAGAGGTAGAAGACCTGAGAAATCACCAGGTCTGGCCCTGCCAGGGCAACAGCCGCTGGGGCTCAAAAACTAGTGCGTCTATAGCAGGCTACATTGCTAAGCAGGCCAGTGTGTGTGGCCTGCAGGAGAAAGGGTCCCCCAACTCTCCAACAGGGACCACAAACAGGTCTGCCCAGCGCAAGTGGCTTCCCAGGACTCAGGACTTTCAGCTTCGGACAGGGATTGTCTTAAGCAGAGGGGGTTAAGTTGGTTCCCTTTATTGTTGCGAGTGTGTCCCAGGAGAGCTGGTTTCTAGAACTTTCCACCCTGGCACAATTGCTGCTTTATTTTTCAATCCATACATAGTGTTTTTTTAACAGCCATTAAAACCACTTGTAAAATAGTAACAGCTGACATTCCCATGAGGGAACGGTCATGGATATGAGCAGTAGTGGGTGGCAGCAGTCAGAACTGTGACAAGGAAGGGATGGGGGGGGCGGGGGGTGGCCAGAAGCAGCGCCACGCCCAGAGATGTAGGTGATGTTATCAGCTCTCCACTGATACAGAAATTTTTTAAACTGCCTCCCGGTGTTGCCACACCTCAGTTTGCTGTTCTGTAAACTGGGACTCTCAAGACACACTTAGGGGCTAGAGAAAGTAGGGGCTGTGAGATTGGTGACAGGGCCTCCCAAAGGGGAGCTGGCATCCAATCCCATTATTTGAACATGCTACAATGAGTTAAATGACACCCCATGAACACAACTAGATCTGCAGTGGGCAGGGTCTTCTATGCTTTCCCTTTAAGACTTGGCCAGTTCCTTGTCCTCTGGTCTGTCTATGGGCATTTCTGTCCCAACAGGTGGTAATAGGCCCCAGAGACACCCAAAAAAGTTTGTTGAAAAAAAAGAAATTCAGCAAGAGAAGGGCCACTATTACTGCTCCTATTACTACTAATTATTATGATGATGATGATGATGATATTGTAAACTGGGGCAGCAACCACAGTCCAGCTTGGCAGAGGAAATTAAGGGCAACCATGGAGGTATCATTAGCGTTTCAAAAGAACCTGGCCTGAGACTGACTGGGCAGAGAACACCCAGGGCCTGTGCCCTGCCCAGTCCTAGGATCCTTTGCCAGCCCCCACTGCTGTGTTGGTCATAGTGCAGCTGGTCCTGGTGGCAACTTGGGGACAAAGGCAGGAGCCGAGAACAACAGTCCTGATTTGCTGTCCCATCAGCCGCTGCTGCCAGCTACAGCGGGGACACAAGCAGGATGGAGTGGGCCAGGGCCAAAGGCACAGCCAGATGGCAAAGGGACTCAACGGGTAAAGCAGAACTGGTGAGGCAGCTGAGCAGAGGCCCCCACATCCGTGGGACCAGTGGCCAGGGCAGACACACAGGTCGGGGGACAAGTTCCAGGAGAGAGAATGGCAGGTGGTCACAGTCCTCTGGGGTCATTGCCCACAGCAGCTGCATGGGGCAGTTCCCTGCTCAGAGCCCAGAGCCGCACGCAGCTGCTATAGCCGGGGTGCCTGGGCACACCTGCCACGATAACTGTCCCAAATGGGTGACACGCCAAGGTCAGAAAGTTGCCAACAAGACACAGAGAAGCAATATCGGGAGGCAGGTGGCCAAGAACATTCAGGCTTCCAGCAAATGTCCACCAAGTGACAGCCACGTGGCAACCTTCAACAATCGGCTGCATTTCCTTTGCTAGAAGGTTGTGTGTACCCCGTGCAGAACCATCTAACGGGATATAGGAGTGTCCCAAGTAAAAGAGTAGGAGTTCCCCTTCGTTTCTTCAACTCTGCTCTTCAGCGTTAATCCCTGCTAACAGGCCGGGAGAGGTGCGATCTGGCAACACAGACGCACGCTGCCTCGTAACCAGAGCAGCCAGCAGCTTCTCTCCCGTGACATGTCACTTGTCCCCACGCACTCCCGTGTCACTCTGTTCGATAGCCCCGTGGTGTTCCAAGAATGAAGCTTCACCTGCTCAATATTTCTCACTCTTTGCGCCGCTGGTAGGACACACCTCCTCACTCGTGGGCCTGAACGCTGGTGCTGGCAGTCACTGCTGTTAAACAGCCTCCCAGGGCCTCCCAGGGCCTCCCAGGGCCTTGCACACAGGCACATGAGATCTGCAGTCCTGGTCATCCACACACTGGGTGTAACAGGTACCCCAGCCTCTTTCCCATAAGACCCCAGGAGGTTGACCAGATGCTGTGGTCGCTTCCCTTCCTCTCTCATCTCTTTATGGTTCCTGGGCCTCAAGTTAACTGCTGTTTGGGCTGTAGGGGGCTCATGAGAACAGGGCAGACAGGAAATGGCTCAGTAAGCCTCCATCGTGGGGTTAATGTCAACCTTTGCCTGTGTGTTTCCTGCAGGTGATTGCCAATAACTAATTGGGTGAGCGCGAGTCACCAGAAAGCTCAGGGACTGTCCGACTCGGGGAATAATAAAGTAATTGCATTGTGAATCACACCTTGGTGAGAGTCTTATTCAAAAACCATCCTAAGATACAGGTCCCGGAGACCAGGACACGGGCCAGGGCTCAGAGACAGAGCCAGCCCCGGCACCTGCTCACAGCAGCTCTGGGCAGGGCAGGTGGGCAGCACTGGCTGCCACACAAAAGATCCAGACCCCGGCTGGTTCTCCCAATGTGACAAGAAACTCAGTCCCCATGCTGGTCCCACTCCTGGGACGGGAATCAGACAAGGGGAAGCTTTGCAGACAGCAAGTCTCCTTTATGAGCGAGAAGAGAGAGACAGCAAAGCAAGGAGGAGGCAGTAAGCCAGCCAGAGAGGCCACACCCACCTCAGAGTGGCACTGCAGGGAGTAACAAGGCAAGAGAAATGAATTATTTCCAATGCATCATTTAGCAGTCACTGAGCCCAGCTGACCCCACAGGTTCTCACAGCCCCACGTCTGTAGCAGAAATTCCCGCACGTCAGCCATTCTCCAGCGGGCACAGTTTTGGCCCCTAGGGCACATGTGGCAGTGCCTGTGCACACTGGCACCACACAGGAACGGGGGCACCCGACATCCATGGGACAGAAGCCACGGGTGGCGCTGAGTAGCCTGCTGTGTATATCACAGACCCCATGGCAAAGGGTCGTCCCGTCCTCAACATCAGCACCGCACAGGTCGGGAAGCCCAGGGCTCACAGGTGACGGTCCCTAGCCCAGAGCCAGCTCCGGGGGCAGAGCCCTGTGGTGTCCATGGCACTGCTCTTCCTCCACCTGCACCTGTCTCCCACACGGAAGCTGCTACAAGCTGTCCGTCACAGGGAGCAGAAGTCCAGACCCTTGCACAGGTTCCAAAAGCCTGGAGCAATGGAAGGTTCCAGACCTGGAGCACAAAGGTTTCGGGGTGAGCCAAGTGAGGGGGTCCTGACCCCACTAAGTTTTAAAGAAAAGTTTCTTCCGGAGAAAATTAAAACACCCAGGGATCTGTTTGTAAATCCCTCGCTCGGAAACGGCATTTGCGACCTGCGGAAGAGAAGCAGGAGGAGGACCATGAGTTCAGCTCTCAGTCAGATTCCAGAGGGGTGGGGGCAGCGGGGCGGGCTTACACAAGGGCCCAGCCACCACCTCCCTCAGTGCGGGATTCAAAGAACACGTACGTTACAATGGCCTAGTGCCTACGTCCTCGCCTTGCATGCCCTGGGATCTCAGAGAGGCACCAGTTCACGTCCCGGTAGTACTAAGTCCCACCTACCTCCCTGCTTGAGGCCTAGGAAAGTAGTAGACGATGGCCCAAAGCCTTGGGACCCTACGCTCGCATGGGAGACCTGGAAAAAGCTCCAGGCTCCTGGCTTCGGATCAGCTCAGCTCCAGCCATTGTAGCCACTTTGGGGAGTGAACCATCAGATGGAAGATCTTTGTCTCTCCTTCTCTCTGTAAATCTGCCTTTCCAATAAAAATAAATCTTTTTAAAAAAAAAGAACATGTGCCTCAATTATACGCTGAAAGAACACAAAATCTGGGGCCGGCCTATGGCCCAGATGCTGGCATATCTTCTGAGCGCTGGTTCAAGCCCTGGTATAAGACCTCCACTTCCGATCCAGCTCCCTGCTAACACTCCTGGGAGAGCAGCACAAGATGACCCAAGCATGTAGATTTCTGTCACCACGTGGCAGCCCTAGTTGAAATTCCAGGCTCCTGGGTTCAGCCTGGCCCAGCCCTGGCTGTTGCAGCCATGTGGGGAGTGAATCAGCAAGAACTAACATGGCTCTCACAGCAGCCAAGGCATTTCTGCCCCCAGCGTGGGCCTGGTGCCCACTCGCCCACCCCAAACCCCCAACCCCAGCAGAGGCAGGCCACGCTCACCCGGAGCAGGAGGGACTGCAGGTCCTCGGTGTGCGCCCACTGCCCCAGGATGCAGTCCAGGGTTTCCACATACCAGGAGCCATTCTGGGTGTCCCTCCAGGAGACGAAACCTTCAGAGGAGACAGCGGGCACTCAGTGGGGGAGCTGGCCTGTGCTCCTCAGATTCGGGCCCCCGGACACACGAGGCCAGAGCCCACATCCCTGCAGCACCCTCTCCCCGATCTCATGTCATCCTCGCTGCCCCCTCCTGACCTGCGCTGAGTCTTCCCAGCAAGGAAATGAAGGGACTCACCTAAGGGACGCAAAAGGACAGGAAGGGGGCATCTGGCCTAGTGACTGAGGTGCCCCTTAGGATGCCCGCATCCCCTTCCTGACTCCAGTTCCCTGTTACTGCAGATGCCAGAACACAGTGGTGATAAAGGCTCACCCGACAGAATCCCTGCCACCCACCTAAGAGATCCACACTCCACTGCCAGCTCACGCGTCAACCCAGCCCCGACCAGGCCACTGCAAGCTTTTGAGAAGTGAACAGATGGGATCCTTTCTTTTTCTCTGCCTCTCAAATTTTTATTTTAAAGGAAAGAAACTGCCATGTGTGCCACCAGCTTCCTGCCAGACCCTGTACTCAGAGCTGGTCGGCCACCTGAGTAAGCTCCATGACAATCCCTTTGCGACAGCTACCATCTCCACTTTCCAGAGGAGCAAAGCCAGGAGGTGGGCAAGGTGCGTGCCTACTGAAACAGTGCATCGAGGCCCAGAGAGATGAACGAATTTGCTCAGGGTCACACGAAGGCAAGAGCTGGAACCGAAGCGCGGGCACCTGCACCCAGCTCCTTCACCACAGAGCTGCCTCCAGGGCAGACCCCAGGATGCCGGGCCAGGACCACCAGGCGCTCCCTGCTGTGCTCACCTGGGAAGGTAGAGTAGGACACGAGGATGTCACTGGGCGTGGGTAAACTAGACACAGCGTCTGGCTGGTCATCAGCAGTCCTCGGGCCTCCTTGGAACGGGGTGGCATCCGGCTCTGGGCTGTGGCCAGCGGCGCTATCTTCAGAGTAAGTGGAGGCCACCTCAACCCCACGGTCCTTCTGCTCTGCTGGGAGCAAAGACAACCCCCTGCTTGTCTCTGAATCACACAGACCCAGGCTGCCAGCCCCCCATCTCCACCTCACACAGCAGATTCCCAGCCCCCAGCCTTCAGGTGCCCTCTGGAGCCAGGCTAGCAGTGCCCAGCACATAGTAGCAAAAGTAGAAACTAATGCCATGCTTTTTTTTTTCTAAGCCTTTATGAAGTAAAATGGCAGGTGGGGAGAGGAAGCAGAAGTTGCAGAACTTTTTAAAGCAGCTATAAACCATGCGTCAGCCCCGTCCTGTAGGTCTGAGGCGAAGGCCTGGCCTGGGGGCCAGTGCAGCTCGTGCTCAGTTGGTTCTTAGAGAGCCTCGTCAACTCAAAACTCCCCGTAAAACAAAGCTCGTCCCGTCCACCCGACCGAGGGGCAAGGGGAAAGGTGGTGCTTCCACACAGTAAACCCACAGCCACCGCAGCAAGCCCGCTGCTTGCTGCCTCCAGTGTCACCCTGCCTGATCACCCTGCACACTCAAGGCAGACGCAGCCGGGCCAGCCACCTGGCCTCCGGAAAGGGTGAGGTGCTCGGCCACGCTGGCATCCACACCACAGCCACTGGCATCCAGGGGGGCCTGTCAGCCCCTGATGCTGTGTGACCTCACCGCGATGATGTACTAAACGGGGTTCTGTCTGTTTTAATTTAAACACACACAGATGGAACAGAAAGTCTGGGATAGGCCTAGTGAGAAGGTCCCACCTGTGACACCCACAAACTATGAAATGGAGCACCTGGGTTCAAGGCCCAGCTGCACTCCTGATTCCAGCTCCCAGCTAGCGCGTACCCTCGGGGGTAGCAGATGATGGCTCAAGGGCTTGGATCCCTGCCACCCACATGGGAGACCCCAACTAAGGTCTGGCTCCAGGCTTTGGCATGGTCTAGCCCAGGTAGGAGCTCTATTAATGCCTATTACAAAGAAACAAAGGAATAAAAGAAGTAAGGAATCCAAAAGTCATTGAGATCCAGGACACCCAGCTAGGCATGAATTGCAGAACAAATTTCTGTTCTCAGCTCAGTGGCACCACCTTGTGGCAGCTCTGTAGAACGCCAGCTCACACAGCCTGGGGTAGCCAGCCTGTCTGAGCCACATTCCACCTTTGAAATCATGTTGTTCCTATGAAGCAGTTGTATTTTTGCTTTGCTCTCTTTGTAGCAGAGGGCACATCATTCCAAATTTTGCTTCTAGGTATTCTGACAGGGTTCTATTTCAAATCTTTAGAATCCACGTTAAGAGGTTCGAGTCAGTCTGGGAAACTGGCTGAGAGGCAGCTGTGCCTGACCCTGCCCTCCAAGCGCTGACCCAGATGAGTCCATCTTAGTGCAAGACGCAGCAATGCAGGCAGAGTGGGCTGCAGGAGCCGGCTAACCCCGGTTCTGTACGAGGCAGGACGTGTTCAGGGAAGAGTTTCTAGAGGTGAAGGCTCCTGATGGAGGTCAGGGCAGGCGTGGGGAGCGGCAGCAAGGGAGGTGGCAAGCTGCTCTCGCTGCTCTAACGCACACGCTTGCACCAGGCCTCTGCAGCGGAGCCATCCAACTGACATGAGCTCGTGACACTCCCGCAGAGTGAGACAGAGAAGTGCATTTAATATTGCCCCCCCACCCCCTGAGCGGGCAAGGCGGAGACCAATTCTGGCCAGATGCAGGGGCTGCCATACGGACCGTAGTGACCACATCTGGTCCCTCTCCCCCCTGGAGAGCCCCGTGGGCACGCAGCGGGGCCAAGCCATGCTTACCCCCGCCACAGGCCTGGATGAAGAACAGCTTGGGCTTCCCGCCCAGGCTGGGGCAGCCAGTCCCGTTGAAGATGTTCACCACTCTCTCGATGAACACGGGCCATCCGTCTGTACCATAGACGGCCCCTGGGAACTGCAGGTGGCTGGCCTGGAAGACCAAGAACCTGGTTACAAAGCCAAGCAGTGAGGGTCAGATTCCACGGCTGGCTCAGAGGCTTCACGGGGTCCAGCATTCGCAGGCCCCTTCTAGGGGCATGAGGCTGATTCACATAGAGTCAGCTGGTTCAGGAAGGGCCCAGGTCACCACCTGTCCCAGGAGGTCTCAAGTTCATGGGCTTCCTCTAGACCAGGGCTCCCCCCAGCATGTGCCATGCGACCAGCCGGAGCAGTGCCTGAGAAATCCAAGTGCCCAGGCTACACCCAGGCCTGCCAAGTCAGCATTTGGTGCCCCACATACACACCAGCTCACAATGCCAGCCCAGGGCACAGCTCAAATGCCAAGGCAAGTGGCAGGGCTGAGGGCTGCATTTCTCACCAGCTCCCAGGTCATGCCCTGCTGGGTCTCAGGACCACACTGTGACAGGGACACAGGAACACTAGCTGTCAGCGACAAGCCAGAGCTGTGTGGCTTTTAAGAGATGCTAGAAATGCTGATTGCTGTATGAAACTTCTTTTTTTTTTTTTTAAGATTGGTGAGATTGGCAGCAATTCATAACTGTTGAACTATTAAAACCACTTGAGCAGGACCCTTGGAACATGCCCCACATCAGGGACCTGGGGTGGGTAGGAGACTGGGTGGGGCTTCTCCCTTTATCTCCCCCTTTGCCCCAATCAACTATGTAAAGATTGTCAAAAACAGAGGAAAAAAAAGATCCATTCATTCAAAAAGCAGAGTTACAGAGAAAAGGAGAGACACAAAGGAGAGAGAGCTCTTCCGTCCCCTGGTTCGCTCCCACATGGCCACAACGGTCACGGCCATGCCACACTGAAGCCAAGAGCCTGAACTTCATCCAGATCTCCCACGTGGGTTGCACTAGTCTGAGCATTCCCCAGACACATGAGCAGGAAGCTGGATGGGAAGCAGAGCAGCCAAAATTCAAACCACAGCAGACAATGGCTTTACTCACTATGCCACAGCACCAGCCTTCAAACTTCCCAATTTTCAAAACACTGTACAGGGCCCAGCACAGCAGCCTAATGGCTAAAGTCCTTGCCTTGCATGTGCTGGGATCCTGGGTGCCAGTTTGTATCTCGGCTGTTCCAGTTTCCATCCAGCTGAGGATGGTCCAAAGCTTTGGGACCCTGAACCCATGTAGGAGACCCAGAAGAAGCTCCTGGCTCCTAGATTTGGATCAGCTCAGCTCTGGCTATTGCAGCCACTTGGAGAGTGAACCAGCAGGTGGAAGATCGTTCTCTCTGTCTCTCCTTTTCTTTCTGTATATCTGCCTTTCCAATAAAAACAAAACAAAACAAAAATCCTTTTTAAAGAATCTGTGCAAACAACAGGAACATAGTGACCTCTGGCTGGTGACAACTCATGTGTCCAGAAGACAAGGAGACTGGGACCCAGAGAAGGGAGAGGTACTGGTCATGACGAACAGACACAGTAGTGGCCAAGTCCCAAGGGGTCCCAGGGACCTGAGTCTCACCCAGCAGCCAGGGGCCTGGCACAATGGCCAGCAGGATCAGGGCAGGGTTGGAGATCTCTGTGTGCTGTGCCCCGCTGGAACCGAACCCAGGACCCGGCAGCCACTGAGAGAGCAGACCCCACCTCCGTCCTCCCTCTCCCACGGGGTGGCTCCCAGAGGACCCCACAGCTCCGGAGAAGACATCAGGGCGCAGACAGGGCTCCACACTCTTCTCCACCAGGCCAAGGGCATTTGGGAACGGGGAGGGACAAGGCTCCAGTGTGCCTAGGGCACATGGAGGAAAGTCTCCTACCTGGCAGCCATGCGACAGGATGACCACCACGCAGCAGTCCAGGGTGCTGTGGTCCCTCCGCGCCAGCTCCTCCAAAGCCAGGAGCATCTCCTACAAGGAAAGACAGCAAGTGAGCCACAAGCATGGATGGAGCAGGCAGGTCACAGGCACGGAGAAGCAGATGGGCCATAGGCGTGGACGGGGCAGGCGAGCCGCAGGCATGGACAAGTCAGACAGGCAAGAAAGCTGCAGGCGTGGAAGGGGCAGGCCATCCTCCTGGGCCTTTCAGGCGGTCAGCCCAAAGGCTTTGGCAGGACACCTGCTCTGCAGCCAGCAGTCAGGTAAACTGAGGCACAAGAGGTCACAGAGCAGTAGCCGAGAGAGCCAGTCCTAAAACCAGGTCATCTAGCCCTGACCTAGGAACACTGGGCCAACTGTGAGGGAAGGCAGTACGTGGGCAAGGTCTGTCACAGGAGCCTGGGCCCCCCGCCCCGAGCTCTCCAGGAGGACCGGGGATTGTACCTTGGCGGTCAGGTCGGACTTCACCTCCACAGCAAAATGCAGCAAGCAGAAGCGGCGCTGCAACTTCTCGCAGTCGATATTGGAGCCGGTGCGGGTGCTGAGCCCCGAGTCGCTGCTGAAGTTCACGTTGTTGATGATGAGGCAGTGGCCACAGGGGTCTGCGTTCAGGACATACGCCTGTGCAAGCACAGAACCCAGCATAACCCGGGGGCCCGTGGGAAACAGAGCCCCTGGATCCAACACGTGGGGCTCCCCATCTGCCCTGTGTGCTAGGCAGGAGAGAACTGGAGCGAGATCAGCTCCCATCTCAGAACTGACTCACCCAGAGGGCCTTCCAATCACGTGGCGCCAGGAGCACCTGAGAACTCCACAGCCGGCTCTGTGAGCAGCCATGAGCCCAGGACGCTGTCTGGGCATCCAATGGAGGCTGCTTCCACCCCAGCCTCACTCCCCCACTGTCCCCCAACAGCCCGTTCTTCGTGCTTAGGGTACTTAGCACTCCAGTCATGAGAGAATTCGTGATTGCACCAACAGATGGCTGTGACATCATGACACCATCTGTCACTGACAGAAACACCAGCCCACAACAAATGACTGCTTTCCCATCGATACGGCTGTCTGCTCAACCTCTCTCTCCAGCTTTAACGGCTCCATGGGGGTTAGAAACACATGGGATGGCACAGGGGAGCAACCCATGGTAGCGAGCACCGTGCCCTGGGACAGGCAGACCTGGACCGCTTAGGGCTGGCACCTGACCTTCCAGGTAAGGACTGGATGATCTGTTTGGGAGAGGGCTGTCCCGGGGTCATGGGGGTCCCTGGGGACTGGAACTCCATCCCCAGCTACTGGCCTCAGCTCACAGGAATACTCACCAAATCTGTGTCTCCTCTCGCTCTCCCCTGAACACCTGCAGACACAGAACGAGACGGAAACAGTAAGGTGAAGGTCACTGCAAAGGGGGTCCTCTGCGAGGACAGCCCCCATAGAGCAGAGGGGGAGCTCGGGGACTCTCAGCCCCAGCTGGTAGCAGTGTCACATGGCACGGCCGCCTTGCAGACCTGCCCCTAAGCCGCTAACAGAGAACCACTACACAGCAGCCTCTGACCAGCAGCCCAGGCTAGGGGCATAGCCAAGAGGAAGCGGGGCACGAAGGACTTGGCCAAAAGTCCTCATCGAGCCCCGGTCAGGAAGCCCCCGATGGAGACAATCAACCCAATAGGTTAATGGAAACACAAACTGGGATCCAATGGTACAAACAGCGTGAGATCACACCTGCTACCAATTCTTGCAATGCCACAGATGACCGCAAAAGAATATCTGGGAAGTAGAGGTGGGGAAGTCCATTGCATAACAGCAGAGATGGCACAGTGCTGGCACCATGGCATTGCTGATTAAGCTTCCACGCAGAACCAGCATCCCATAGGGACACTGGTTCAAGTCCCAGCTGCACCACTTCCAATCCAGTTCCCTATTTAAGGAATGGGAAAGCAGCAGCAGATGGCCCCTGCACCCACATAGAAGACCCGGAAAAAGCTCCTGGCTCCTAGTCTTGTACTGAACCAGCTCCAGCCATTGCAGCCATTTGGGGAGTGAATCAGTGGACGGAAGATCTCTCTTGCTCTGTCTTTCTTTCTCTCTCTGCAACTCTGTCTTTCAAATAATAAATAAATCCTCTAAAAAAAAAAAAAGGAGTAGGAGTTGGCACAATGGCTAAATTGGTTAATCCTCTACCTGAAAGTGCCAACATCCCATATGGGTGTCAGTTCGTGTCCCAGATGCTTCACTTCCCATCCAACTCCCTGCTCTGGGTAGGAAGGCAGCAGAGTCCTTGTAACCCTGCACCTGCATGGGAGACCCAAAGGAAGCTCCTGGCTCCTGGTTTTGGACTGACCCACCTCCAGCCATTGTGGTCACTCGGGGATTGAACCAGCAGATGGAAGATCTCTCTCTGTCTCTCCTTCTCTCTGCAGACCTACCCTTTCAGTAAAAATTAATAAATCTTTTTTTAATGTTAGCAATAAGAATTTTTAAAGATTTATTTTATTTTTTATTGGAAAGGCAGATATATAGAGAAAAGCAGATAGAGAAAGATCTTCCATCTCCTGGTTCACTCCCCAAATGGCCGCAATGGTGAGAGCCGAGTTTTTCTGATCCGATGACAGGCGCTTCTTCTGGGTCTCCCATGCAGGTGCAGGGTCCCAAGGCTTTGGGTCATCCTCCACTGCTTTCCCAGGCCACAAGCAGGGAGTTGGGAAGGAATTAGAGCAACCAGGACACGAACCAGTGCCATATGGGATCCTGGCACATGCAAGGCAAGGATTTAGCCACTAGGCTATTGTGCCAGGCCCAAAATAAATATATCTTAACAAATAAATAAAAAGTAGAGATGGAGGGAGAAATGGTGTGAGTTCATTTATATGAAGTGCAGGAGAGAAGGAAGAAGGGAAGGCACCAAGACCAGAGGCTCCTGCTATGCAGAGTCCACAGGGCCTGGTACACAGGAGGCCTCCAGAAACATCTGCAGGATGAGGGGCCGGCATGACATCCATCCACTCTGTGGCGCCAGCATCCCATACGGATGCCGGTTCATGTCTCAGCTGCTCTACTTCTGATCCACCTCGCTGCTATGGCCTGGGAAAGCAGCAGAGGATGGCCCGTCCTTGATCCCCCACACCCACATGGCAGACCCTCTTGGTTCCTGGCTCCTGGCTTCAGATGGGCTCAGCTTCAGCCATTGCAGCCATTTGGGGAGTGAACCACCACACCTTACATCTGCCCCCTGATGTTTCCATTGCTTTTCACTTTTTAAGATTCATTAGGGCCCAGCATGATGGCCTAGTGGCTAAAGTTCTTGCCTTGCATGTGCTGGGATCCCACATGGGTACCAGTTCATATCCTGGCTTCCCTACTTCCCTTCTAGCTCCCTGCTTGTGGCCTGGGAACAGCCCAGAGCCTTGGGATCCTGCACCCACGTGGGAGACCCAGAGCAAGCTCCTGGCTCCTGGCTTCATATTGGCTCAGCTATTGCAGCCACTTGGGGAGTGAACCAGCAGATGGAAGACCTTTCTGTCTGTCTCTCCTTCTCTCTGTAAAATCTGACTTTCCGATAAGAATAAATAAATCTTAAAAAAAATAAACTAGTACTCTAAAAAAAAAAGTATTTATCAGAGAATGGGAGACAAAAAGAGACAGAGAGAGAGATCTTCCATCCACTGGTTCACTCCCCACATAGTGTCCTGGTCACATAGACAAGGCTAAAATCAGAAAGCAGGAACTTCTTCCAGGTCTGGAATGGAAGGAAAACCCCAGAGGATCCTGGGATGCTGTGTGTGACGACCGAGGTGCTGGAGACCTGGGTGCATCCATGGTCCAGGCCATCCAGCCCTGCCCTGGGCACACCTCGCATCCTCAGGCAAGTTAGCTCCCCCTCCTAAGCCTCTGCTTGCTCCTCGCCAAGAGCTGTTGTGAGGGAAGCAGCAGGAATATGTCCTGGGCAGGTATGTTCTGAAATCTGAACAAAGGCCTCCCACCTGTCCCAAGCCCAGGGTTCATCTAAGCTACCCCTGGGACCCAGAAACAAACTCGGCACAATGGCTGGATCTAGAAACACAGAGGGAAAAGGGCATGCCAGAATGTTCCATCCATATCCCATAAGCTCTCAGGAAGACAACAGCAGAGGGAAATTCTGACCCTCAGCCCACCAGCTGCACCAACAGTCCCACGCCCCCACCCACCACTCTCCCCATACATCACCGAATCCTCCAGAAGCAGAGTCCACTGGTCTGAGAACCTCCGGCCTGAGTTTAGCTGAACACAGCTCCTTGGGCCCCAGCACCACGGGGGAGAGGTTTTCCGGGGGGGTCACCACCGCCGCCGAAAGATCCCGCTTGCCCATCATCGGCTTCTCTGCTTTGAGGCCCAGAGGCCCGAGCTCCAAGGGCACCAAGGGTGGGACTCTGATGGCCTCGAGAGCCTGCTCCCGCCTGCCAGTTCTCAGGAACGAAGCCAGTGCGTCCTGCCCCGTGTCCTCCAGGCAGGAGATGAACACAGGAAGGGCCTGCCTCCCTCGGCTCTCCAGGTCGATGACCAGCTGCCTGGCCTGGTCCCGGCGCGTCCCGGAGCCTGCGTGCTGTTTGGAAAGAAACACTAGACACAGTCACCCACTCACCACCACGGGGGTCTCATCCAGTCCTCTCAGGTCCCACCCAGTGCGAGTCTCAACCACCAGGCAGCTAGGCAGAAACGGAGCCGATGGCTTTAGCAAGTGCGGGGCCCTCCCCAGTCTCTGCTGTGTGTTCACCTGGCATTTCAGAGCCATCCACCCGTGCCCAGCTCCGTGCTAAATGCTAAAAGGACAGCCGTGAGAGGTCTTGGGCCCTAAAAGCAAGCATCTAGTGCAGGGACAGACAAATCCACAGAGACAGGCGCCAGGAGAGGAAAAACCCACCCACCGTGGCTGGGGCAGTCACGCAAGCCCCGAGGGGAAGGCTTCCTTGAGACCCCAGTGGATACCAAGAAGCAGATAACCAAATGCAGGATATGGCGGCAGGGAGGTGGGGGATGGAGATGGGCAAGGCCCTGGCCTGACTGTGCTGAGCTACGACATGTGGATTTCAAAATTGGGAAACCCGCACGTAGTTTTTTTTTTTCACAAGATGGATCTTGCTTGAACTTTGTGAAGGACTCTCATATGCATGAATTTTTTTTTTTGCACCAAAATAAACCTATCATTTAGTTCCACTTCCGATGAACTTTTGTAAGACCTCCTCATATAGACAGATTGACTCTATAAGACACTGGGTAGAGAGAAGGGAGAATGGCCAAAGCTGATAGGTGCCAGGATGGCTGACTGACAGGTGTCAGGACGGCTGACTGACAGGTGTCAGGACAGTTGACTGACAGGTGACAGGATGACTACTGACAGGTGACAGGATGACTACTGACAGGTGGCAGGATGGTTGACTGACAGGTGTCAGGACAGCTGACTGACAGGTAGCAGGACGGTTGACTGACAGGTGGCAGGATGGCTGACTGACAGCTATAAGGACGGTTGAATGACAGGTGTCAGGACGGCTGACTGACAGGTGGCAGGATAGCTGACTGACAGCTGTAAGAACGGTTGAATGACAGGTGTCAGGATGGCTGACTGACAGGTGGCAAGATGACTACTGACAGGTGTCAGGTCAGCTGACTGACAGGTGGCAGGACGGTTGACTGACACGTTTCAGGATGGTAGGACCACTGAGTCAGAAAACAGAGGGAAGATGCTGATTTCCAGCTGTCATCCTGGGGATTCTGCCAAGAAGACATCAGCCTGTCCTCGGGTGTCCTACAGGAGAACTAAGAGAACATTCCATGACCTGAGCAGCCACCAATCACAGGTGGCCACGGAGCACGAGGGTGGTCCACTGACTGAACATCGACTTTAAAAGTACTACCTCTTACATTTCAGTAGCTACATGGGGCATTAAACAGCACAGATCTGCCAGGTCACTGAGGAGGCAAGTCTCCAAGCAACTTCACTTTGGCAGGGGGGCGGACCCAGATGGAGTTCCAGGATCCTGGCTCTGACCACTGCGGACATCTGGAGAATGAACTAGTGGACAGGTCTCTGCCCCTCAGTGTGTGTGTGTGTGTGTGTGTGTGTGTGTGTGTGTGTGTGTGTGAATCTGCCTCTCAAATAAATATGTCTTGTAAAAAAAAAAAAAAACACACAAGAAGCCTGGGTAACTGCACGCTGGTCTGACCTGCACCACCAGAGCTGGGCAGCACGACAGAGGCTGCCCGCCACGGCGTCCAGCCAGACCTGCCTGGCACTTGAGCTTGGACACACAGGTGCATTCATCGGTAATTATCCGCCTGACACTGACCACAATCTCATAAAGATTCCTTCTGTGTAGGGCCCGGCACGGTGGCGCAAGTGGTTAAAGGTCCTCACCTTGCACGCCCGGGATCCCATACGGGCACTGGTTCTATTCCGGCAGCCCCGCTTCCCATCCAGCTCCCTGCCTGTGGCCTGGGAAATCAGTCGAGGACGGCTTTGGGACCCTGCACCCGCGTGGGAGACCCAGAAGAGGCTCCTGGCTTCGGATTGGCATAGCATCGGCCATTGAGGCTCACTTGGGGAGTGAATCATCAGACAGAAGATCTTCCTCTCTGTCTCTCCTCTCTGTATATCCGCCTTTTCAATAAAATAAATTTAAAAAAAAAAAAGATTCCTTCTGCGTAGAAGGCAGAATATCTACGGTGTATGTATGATGAAGGGGCCACCCCGGAAGGGTGGGCGCTGTGGCCCCATTCCCCAGCCCCTGTGAGCTAACTACGCAGACCTTGGAAGGGCCAGTCTCACCTGAGACCCCGACTGGGTCACCTCCCTGCGGCTTAGGCCTGTTAGTTCATCAGAAGCAGAAAAAAAGAGGAAGCAGTGTTCTTCCCACAACTGCAAACGTGCAGCTAATCCCCGGATTAGAAAGGAAACAGAAGCTTAAAGCACGGCAGCATGGAGACTGGGCTTCGCAGGTGCAGCCCCTGGCCGGCCACTCTCACCCGCTCCCATACCCTTACTGCGGAGAGGGTCGACCCAGACACTGCTTCCAAGAAAGCCCCACCTTTATCATCACTGCCCAGCACCCACATCTCCTCGCCTCACTTGCAAAGCCCTTCCTGAACACCTCTAGGGCGGGCACTACCTTCTCCCACAGCCATTACCTTATTTAGTCCTCAGGGCAGCATTGCCTCTGTGCCCATTCCACTGCCCGGTAAACTGAGGCAGTTCAGAACGGCACATGGACAATCTGACAGCAGCATGAGTGCCCCCAGACCACTGAGTTGGAGAAGAAAAACCCATTCGGCTAATATGAAACCCAAATACTAACGGGACAGCGGCTGCACCTGACACCCAAACCAGAGGGTGGAGCGAGATGCCCTGGTTCTACCCTAAGGAAATAAACTCTCCCCAAAGCGCGGGTCCTGGGCCGGGGAGGGCGGGAGCTCCTCCGGAAGGGAAGTCTGTGCCGCGCCGCGGGCGGGTCAGGGGCGCACCTGGATGTCCTCCACCATGTCGGGCGTGAAGAGCTCCCGGCTGACCAGAACGTCCCACAGCTCGGCCACCTGCAGCTCGCTCACCAGCCGTACCCGGCTGCGCCGCAGGAGCTGCCGGTCGGCCTCGTCCATGGCCGGCAGACGACGGGGACCCCGCTCCGTCCTCTTCCGGGGCTGCGCCCCACCCGTTCCCCAGCACCCGCCCCCGGACCCGGGACCCCGGGACCGCCCCCGACCTAGGAGCCGCCTCCGCCCTCTGCCCAGCCTGCCCAGGCAGGTCCCGTTCCCGAGCCGCTTCCGGGCCTACGTGTCCCGCCCCCGCGCCATGGCCACGCCCCCGAACCGCCCCGCGCTGTAGTCACGCCCCCGAGACAGCCTCCGAGCCATAGGCACGCCCCCAGGACCGCCCCCGCGTCGTGGCCACGCCCCTGAGGCGGCCTCAAGTCATAGCCACTCCCACGGGATAGCCCCCGCTCCGTAACCACGCCCCCTGGACCGCCCCTGAGCCGTAACCACGCCCCCGAGACAGCCTCCAAGCTATAGGCACGCCCCCGGGACCGTCCCCGCATCGTGGCCACGCCCCCAGGGCCGCCCAGCGCTGTGACCACGCCCTCGAGACTGTCCCGGAGCCGTAACCACGCCCCCCGGGACCGGCCCCGCTCCATAACCACGCCCCGAGACAGCCTCAGAGCCATAGGCACGCCCACGGGACCGCCCCGAGTCATAGCCCCGCCCCCAAACCGATCCCGCGTCCTAGCCACGCCCCCAGAGTCACCGGGCGCCATTATCACCCCCAAAGGCCCGCTCCACACCCTCGCCACGCCCTACAACCCACCCCTACGTCAAAGCTCCCTTCTAAGAATTTTCAGGCCGTTCGCAAAAATTCAAGCAGGCCCTAGCTGGAGGAATGGCTACAGAACCCCTTATGTGGTGTGGATTGGCCTACCCAGCATACATAAACTCAATCACTGACATCTGGGCGGGGGAGAAAAGTAGGCATTTATTGCAATGCCCAAAGACAGGAGCATCCTGGACTTCTCAGGGGGATAAAGGCAGTATATCATTGGTTTTTTTTTTTTAAGATTTATTTAATTGAAAGGCAGATTTACAAAGAGCAGGACAGAGAGACAGATCCTCTGTCTGCTGGTTCACTTCTAAAGTATGAAATGGCCTGAGCTGAGCTGATCCAAAGCCAGGAGCCAAGAGCTTCTTCTGGGTCTCCGACATGGGGGCAGAGTCTCAAGGCTTCAGGCCATCCTCTCCTGCTTTCTAAAGCCACAAGCAGGGGGCTGGATGGGAAACAGCAGCCAGAATACAAATTGGCACGCATATGGGATGGCGCATGCAAGGCGAGGATTTTAGCCACTGAGCCATTGAACTGGGCCCAAGGAAGCAAATCTTACAGCCCAAAGTTGGGAATGAAGGGCTGGCCTTGTAACATAGCCTGTGACTCCTGCATCCCAAGCCAGAGTGTAATTCCTAGCTGCTCCATTTCAGATCCAGCCTCCTGCTTATCTGCGTGGGAAGGCAACAGGCGTGCTTGTGTTCCTGGAAGATCTGCGTGGAGTTCTTGGCTGTGGCTGTCACCTAGTTCCATCCCAGCTCTTCTAGGAATTTGGAGAGTGAACCAGCAAAGGGAAGATCTGTGTGTGTGTGTGTGTGTGTGTGTGTGTGTGTGTGTGTGCACATGTGTGTGTGTGAGAGAGAGAGAGAGAGAGAGAGAGAGAATTCTGCCTTTCCAATAAGTGATTAAATTTTTTTTAATTTTATTTTTTATGGTGCTTACATAGTTGATTAGGTGGTAAGGATTGAGGATTAGGGGTAAGTTGATGAGATCATTGTTTCCAAATTTTCTTTTTCTTTTTCCTGTATCCGGGGGATGGGGAACATAAGGGAGAAGCCACACGCAGCCCAACTGCCTTAGTACCGGGGATGGGGAATGGCTACCCAGTGTCATCCCGTGGTCCCTGATGTAGAATATTCTTCAAGGGTTCTGCTCAAGTGGTTTCAATAATTCTGAAATACTGTCGATCTCACTGATCCAAGGATGAGGAAATCCTTCCAAGGTCCATTGGCTGATACAGTCCACCTTAGAGTCTCCATTCGCCCAGATACTTGCTGTCAACACTTGGCTGAGGTAGTTGAATAATTTGTTCTGCCTTCCCTCCCCTGCTATGGGACCAGATGTCCCCTGCAGGCTCCAATGGACTGCCATATCCTGCATGCTCATCTAGGTATGCTGTCCACTAAGATGCTGTCCATCTAAGCCACCGAGGAGACCCAGTTCTGGCACATGCACTCTACAGTCAGACCACAGATCCTGTGATTCTCGCCATGGTTGGAGTTCTGAGCCAGTGGTTCAGTTGGGGGGGGTCTCCCCAAAGAAACCTGATCTGAAGTGATCCCAGACCTGACTCGTGTGTGTGCTTGCCAGTGTGGGGTCTGGCTCAGTCCTTCATCCACATCAACCTACGCACACACTGGTAGTTGCAATTGCCAGATCAGTTCTGTGTCCAGCCCTGTGTGTTACGTAAACCAACGGATGAGATGGCCCAGCCAAACCCTGCCCCCCACACACTTAGCCCTAATGCACACCGGCAGGAGCTGCAGCTTAATCGGAGCGACCTGGGGGCAGGTCTGCCCCCAGCCCTGGTTCTCATGCTCACCAGTGGGAGTTGCAGCCCATTAGAGAGATGCCACAGTTTCCTTACTGGGCCCACTCCCAGATCTTGCACTTTCCAGGTAGTTCTGCAATCTAACAGGACTTGCCCCCAGTCCCAGCACTCACCAGCTGATGCTGTTGCAAAGCCCAACCAGGCTGCTCTTACTCTGATTCATTCATGCAGAGTGGATACAGGCACTTACTCCAAACTGGCTTTTCCCCAGCCGAGTTCACATGCAGGCCAACACGGTTGTAGCCCTGCCAGCCTGGTCTGCTTCCAGCCCCAGCTCTTATGCTCACCAGCAGGAGTAGTGGCCCAGCAAGGGAGCCCCACAGCTCCCATATGGGTTCTCACATGTGCTGGTGGATATTAAAGCCCAGTCTAGCATGGCCCACCTCACTTCAGCATTTTGCTGGCAGGTGCTGTAACCTGGCCCAATCTGATCTGCCTGCAGTTCCAGCCCAGGCTGGTGGATGCTACAGCCTATCCCAGCCCAGTCAGCCCCTAAATCCTGGCCCTAGGCAGGTTCCCAGATCCAGTCCTCTGGCACAGTGCAGGTCTGGGACCTTACCTCTCTACTCACCTGGGACATCAGCACATGTGCAAGACCCCAGGTATAACACATGGGCACAGCCCATGGCACAGCATGCTAACCTGGGGCCTTTCCCACTCCCCTCCCCACTCACCCTCAGAACTGAAATATGTGGGACATCTCAGATCATGCTTAAGCCACACACACCCCCCACACAAATCCGTAGATCTGAGAGCCCATGGAAGAGAGCAAAGCTGCAAGCATCTCCAGCCTCAGCTCCACAGAGGCCTAAATGAATAAAACTTAAAAAAATAAAAAGTGGGCTGGGCCCAACATGGTAGCCTAAGGTTTTTTTTTTTTTAAAAGATTTATTTTTATTATTTTTTCATTGGAAAGGCGGATATACAGAGAGGAGAGACAGAGAGGAAGATCTTCCGTCCAATGATTCACTCCCCAAGTGAGCGCAACGGCCGATACTATGCCGATCCGAAGCCAGGAGCCTCTTCCAGGTCTCCCACGCGGGTGCAGGTTCCCAAGGCTTTGGGCCGTCCTCGACTGCTTTCCCAGGCCACAGGCAGGGAGCTGGAAGGGAAGCGGGGCTGCCGGGATTAGAACCGGCTCCCATATGGGATCCCGGGCGTGCAAGGCGAGGACCTTTAACCACTTGCGCCACCGCGCCGGGCCCGGTAGCCTAAGGTTTACAACCTCGCATTGTACGCACCAGGATCCCTTATGGACACCACTTCCCATCCAGCTCCCTGCCTGTGACCTGGGAAAGCAAAGCTTTGGGGCATCCTCTACTGCTTTCCCAGGCCACAAGCATGGAGCTGGACAGGAAGTGGAGCAGCCAGGATACAAACTGTTGCCCTCATGGGATCCCAGTTGCTTGCAATCTGAGGATTTAGCCTTTATACCAGGCCCTCAAAAAAATTTTTTTTAAATAAATCTTTAAAGAAAAAAAAAAAAACAGGCAAAGAAGATGCCTTATCATGGTGGCTTGGCCTGACCTGAGTGGGGATTTGGCTATAGATTCTAGATTTCTCAGATGACAGAACTTTGTTTTGAGGGGCTGGGCTCTGCTTGCTCATAGGGCCCTGGTGCAGTTTAGCCCTGAGCAACGGCCTCATGTTTGTTCTGTTCAACAAATGGAATCACTTGAGCTACAAAACCACAGTTCCATTCACTCATTTATTCCACAAATAGGAAGGGACTTCAGAAAGCCCAGGGAAAATGCATACTATAGGGAAAAAAAAACCTCTACCTGGAATCTTTTTAAAAAAATGTTTTTTTGAGGGCCTGGCATGATGGCTCAATGGCTAAATCCTTGCCTTGCAAGCACCGGGATCCCATATGGGCACCAGTGTCCCAGCTATTCCACTTCCTTTCCAGCTCCCTGCTTGTGGCCTGGGAAAGCAGAGGGGAATGGTTCAAAGCCTTGGGATTCTGCATCGGGCACAGGAGACCCGGAAGAAGCTCCTGGCTCCTGGCTTCGGATTGGATCAGCGCTGGTCATGGCAACCACTTGGGGGAGTGAATCAACTTCGGATGGAAGATCTGTCTGTTTTTCTTTCGGTAAATCTGTCTTTCCAGCAAAATAAATAAATCTTTAAAAACAAAACAGAAAAAAATCACTACGCCTTAAGTCTTTTAGAAACTATATTTGTATAAGTGGGTGTGTCTTTAAATTTCATTTTCCAGCCAGACATTGAGAGTGTAGAAAGGAGTGTGAGACAAACCTCCCCCACTCTCCATGGAAGCTTCCGTCCCAGTGGGAAGATGAGGACAGTAGTATAAACACGGGACATGTTTATATTAATGCAAAGGCCGACAACGTCAAACAGGAAGAGGTAGCTTTGCTAGATCTCCAACGAACCCACCTACTGCTTCAAAGTTCACCTTGCTCACCTGCGCACCCCTCCCCTCCCTTCGCTTTCCACCATCCCCTCCACTTCTTATCCTGAGCCTGGGTGTGTGTGGAGGGGCTGACCCCCTG